ACCTCCCTGTTTACTTTTTCCCCTTTTTCCGTTTAACGGAGAGAAGATTTTTTCAACACATTTTTAATCATAATAGTTTTAATAACTCATCTCTAATAACTGATTTATTTTATCTTTGTCACAATGACAGTAAATAATATTTGACTAAATCTTTTTTCAAGACACTTCTATACAGCTTAAAATGACATTTAAAGGCTTAACTTGGTTAATTAGGTGAACTAGGCAGGTTTAGATAATTAGGCAAGTTATTGTATAACAATGGTTTGTTCTGTAGACTATCGAAAATAATTTAGCTTAAAGGGGCTAATAATTTTGTCCTTAAAATTGTGTTTAAAAAATTTAAAACTGCTTTTATTCTAGCTGAAATAAAACAAATCAGACTTTCTCCAGAATAAAAAATATTATCAGACATACTGTGAAAATGTCCTTGCTCTGTTAAACATCATTTGGAAAATATTTGAAAAAGAAAAAAAAATCATAAGAAATACTTTTGCTTCAGATTACTATATTGTTTTTTTACTGTATTGGTTTAATTTACAGTAAATGTACATGTATCAGATCACATGGAGTTGAGTTTTTTTTTTTTTTTTTAAAGATTTTTGGCCTTTTTGCCTTTATTAGATAGGACAGTATTGAGACAGGAAGCGAAGTGGGAGAGAGAGAGGGGGTAGGGTAGGGAAATGTCCTCGAGCCGGGATTCGAACTCGCGACGCCCTGACGTGCTATTGCACCATATGTTGGCACGCTAACCACTAGGCTATTGCGCCAACTGGAGTATGGTTTTTTTACATAATTTAAAGTAAATGCCCAGGATTCAAATCACAATATTGTTTCTTTAGATCATTCTCAATAAATGTTGTATGCTTCAGATTATTTGTTATTATTTAAAAAATAAATTTACTGTAAATGGTTTAGATACCAATGGTTTTTAATACTCTACAGCAGTGGTCTCTCGAAGTACCACCATAATAAACAGTATTGAAATACAGTAGCGTAGTAAGCCCAGTAAAGCAGCTACAGCTCTGCACAGTACTAAAACGTGGCAGATTAATTTCTAATATTAAGAATATTTATTATTGTCAGCCATTTAAAACATTATAAATAGTCTGAACGTTAACACTGTACTGTGCTTATATGTAAAAAAACAAGCAAACTAAAAATGTCAACATTTAAATTAAAATGTGCTTTTCAAAGTTAAAAATGGTAGGTTAATATTCTTAAAAAGTAGAAAGAAAAGTGCTGTAATTAAATGTAAAGTATTAACATATAGTAGCCAATTCATCAACATCTGGAAATGTTGCCTGGACCTTAAAAATACAGGCTATATGTCATAAAAATAAATAATAGTATATGTCATATTCATATATAAATCACTTTTGAGAAATTTTGAAATATTTGATGTTTTGTAAACAAATTTCGGAAGGAGCATGCGCACAAGCTTCAGTATCGAATACATCATTGACAATCATCCCATTATCAAATCAGTTCTTGAACAAACCCCTACATATACCAAAGCTGTCTTACCTGCAGCATCTCACGACTTTAGCATCCCTCCACCACCTGGTCACCTCACCTCTTGCATTAAATTCCCAGGGGGAGCGTTCTGGGGCCGGGCTAGATACTTCGCTCGAATCCCAACTCCTCTTTGTTCCTGATAAGGGGAATAACTCGAGTTGGGGTGTCTCCTCAAGCTCAGAGCCCTCCCCCCGGACAGCACGCCAAATATGCTTTATACTTAAACGAATGCAAGTGTGAACTCGTGAAATGTAGCATGTACATATGACACGTTTGATATCTCTGCGTACCACTAGAAGGAAGCCCGCGTAACAGTGGTGCACGGACCACCGTTTGAGAACCACTGCTCTACAGTAAATGCGGTTGCTTCAAATGACAATATTGCTTTTGTTAGGTAACTTACAGTATAAACTTCAGATAACAACATATTTTTGGTTTTCAGATAAATGCAGATTTTATGGTATTGTTTTTGGATCATTTACCATAAATGAGCATGCTTTAGATCACAATGCTTTAGTGAATGCCCATGTTTATGATAACATATTATGTTTTTAAACCTTAAATTAAAGTAAATGTCTGCTTCAGATCACATGATAATCATGTTTGTTTTGAATCATGTACAGTAAAAGCGCATGCTTCAGATCTGATGATATTTAAGCCTTTTGAAATAATAAATGTTCATGCTTGAGATGTGATGTGTTTGTAATGTGTAAATCTGCTGTGTTGCAGGCGTGTATATGCAGTGCTTATATTCCTGTTTACTGTGGCCTGATCCCGCCCACCCTGCAAGGAGTGGTGAGTCTCCAGTCCACATATAATTATGAAAATAATTCATTCAAATAAACAGCAATAGGATCTGCATTTCTGTGCTCACTTACTGTACATATCTCAATGTCAGGATTTGCTTGGTATTAATATCCTTGATATTATTAGCTTCTTTAGCTGCATCAGAACGCAGCAGCACAAGTGGTCTTTAATGAACCTAAAAGAGCACATGTCTGTCCGCTGCTCACTGACTTTGCACTGGCTGCCAGTTGCTGCTCGCATCAAATTTAAAGCTCTGATGTTTGCTTACCCAGCGACTTCTGGCTTTGCTCCTTCTTATCTGCTCTCACTTCTGCAGATCTATGTGCCCTCCAGAAACTTGCGTTCTGTCAATGAACGTCGCCTCGTGGTTCTATCCCAAAAAGGGAAGAAATCACTTTCCCGAACTCTAGCGCTCAATCTGTCCAGTTGGTGGAATGAACTCTTAACTGCATCAGAACGCCAGAGTCACTCGCTGTCTTCAAGAAACGACTAAAAACTCAACTATTTAATCAAAAATAATAATAATAATAATAAAATAAATTACTAATGCTTTCCTTCTTAGACTTTACAGACCTGAAACTTGCCAATAGCACTTATTCATTGTTGCTCTTATAGTTGTGTAAATTGCTTCCTTGTCCTCATTTGTAAGTCGCTTTGGATAAAAGCTTCTGCTAAATGACTAAATGTAAGTGTAAGTGTATATCAGTTTGTGCTACTGTACCGCACTACTATACATGCTGCACATTGTCCCCTAAATAAAAAACGAATATTAATCCTTTACACAAAATTAGTATTTTAAAGGCCTGAAAATGTCTTTCTTTAACAAAATGTGATTTGTTGAAAACATCATGTGCATGTTAGGTATGCGTTTAAATCTCTTACTCGATAGGAATAATAACAGTTGTAAACAAAGTAATAACAAACAGTAAATAAAAAAATGTAAAATTAGCTGGGTTACACACAATTTATTCATGTTGTTTCAACACTAATTTATTAAGTTGACTTAATTGTTTTTACAAATGTAAGTGGGCTGAACATAAAACAATAAAGTTGTCCCCAAAAAAGTCACATATTGTAACAAACAGTAGTAAAAAACACTCAAAAAAATACACTCAAATAAAGGGTAAACACTGTAAGAAATGCTGGGTTCCACACAATTCCTTCATGTTGCCTGAACACAAATTGATTGAGCTAAATTAACCCTCTACACGGTGTAACCATATGGCAACATGAATCTTATGTTCATTTCTCTGCCACTGTTTCTTTAAAATCAACAATAATTTTTTTTTTATATTGGAAAGAGAAGACCTTAGAGTAGCCAATGATGTGCTTTGGTTAAGTCACATGACGTGCAGTGTTTTTCTGTTGCGCGATTTCTGACAGACTGGCTTTTATTGTGAGTGGTTGCTGAAGGCAAATGTAAACGTTAATAAAAACAAAGGATCAAATTATGTGAGATCCACAAAAAAAATCTGAGACATCACCTCCAGTAAGTTACGATGACATATTCACCACTCAAATATTTTTTAACCAAAATATTTTTTTTGTAAATCGATCAAATGTGTGTGTGTGTTACCAAACGGCACTGTGCAGTAGTGGAACGTGCAATAATGGGTTAGCTAGCTAGCAAGGTCAGATGTGAACTTTCAGCTTTTAATGACAGCAACTTGAATGCTAGTAATAATGATGATTAGTCGTATGTTAATGGCATTTGCATTATGGATAAAATCTAGTTTTAATTGTAATGCTGTTTTGAATAGATATGAATACAGAGAACAGTGTATTAGCGAGCACCACCATGTTCCATGGTAAGTGAAAGAAGAAAAGGACAGAACTGACTCTTCCTGCAGATGAAAGTGAGGATGAGATGGGTTTAGTAACCATTAGAAGGATGCAGACTGGACATTTGATAGAGACAGTTCAGCTCTAAGGCAGGTAAGACAGGTGTAGTATAGTATATAGTATAATAAATAAACATTTTTCTATGTTAAAGCTTATTAAACACCAATTAAATCATTTCAAACAACAAAATTATTAATTATAAGGAAAGTTTTTAAGTTACATCCACTGTTGGACGTTGTTGCCATGTGGCAACATATCATAAAGTACCTTAAAAAACCATTTTTTTCCCAATTTTATTTCCATCACTTCAAGTTAAGCTATTATAAGAAAAGAAAAACTATATATTTTAATAGGTTTATTATAATTTGTGCGGTAGAGGGTTAATTGTTTTGACAAATTTAGGTAGATTACACATAAAACAATCAAGTTGTCCCAAAATAACTCACCAATTGGTTGAAACAATAGTAAATAAAAAATGAACACTGTAAGAAATGGTGGGTTACACACAATTCCTTCATATTGTTTCAACACAAATTGATTGAGTTGACTTAATAGTTTTTACAAATTGTAAGTGGATTGAACATAAAACAATTAAGTTGTCCCAAAAAAACTCCCAAATTGTTACAAACAAAAGTAACTAAAAAGTAAACACTATACAAATGCGGGGCTCCACACAATTCCCTCGTGTTGTTTCAACACAAATTGATTTAATTGTTTTTACAAATTGTACATCTCTAAATGAAACGTGTGTACACTCAACACTTATTTAAAATGAGCTGAAACAACACAACTCTTGAGGGTTTTTTTGGGGCAACTTTATTGTTTTATGTTCAATCCACTTAAATTGGTCAAAACTGAAAAGCTAGCTAAATTCCTTTATGTTTTCCCAACACAAATTGATTGTGTGGAACCCAGCATTTATTACAGTGTTTGATGAACGTGTGTATGTGCGGAGTTTGGAAGGCATGTATTACAGCTGAAGTCAGAATTATTAGCCCTCCTTTGAATCGTTTGTTCTTTTTTAAATATTTCCCAAATGATGTTTAACAGTCAGGAAATTTTCACAGTATGTCTGATAATATTTCTTTCTTCTGGGGAAAGTCTTATTTGTTTTATTTAGGCAACAATAAATGCAGTTTTAAATTTTTTATATGTGTAGGGTCCAGCCAGTTGGTCCAATGACGGTATCCAATGGTGGATGAAGGTTCACTGCATGTTCGGTCTTTCCAGTGCACAATGTTGATTTATATTAAACTTAACTCATATCTGACTCCAATTTTAGTATGAGGTGGTTTAGAATATTAATATATTTATCCTCGTTTTATCTGACTCCAATTATAAAACATTGAGAAGGTTATTTTGTTTCCGTTCACATTAATTTAGATTATTGAATATTCTCTTCGGTTCATCATTTTATGTTCTTCTCGTTCATTGGGATCTCTATAACATCCTGAATCTTGTACCGGCCGAGTATACAATTTCTTAAGCACAAGCATGTCAGTCTTGGTCACTAAACAGTGGCGATTGACCGCTATCCTAAAAAGGCAGAACCCTACTTACTCAGATTAGGATATTTTTTATGCGGTCCCCATAGGTCTGCTACCTCCTAAATCAGACAGAGCTATTTAGTCATATAACGATCATTACTATAGAATTAAGCAGACCAGTCGTACTTAAACTAGTAGTAACTTTGAATAATCGCTATAATATCTAAATAGTATTATAAGTTTATCGGGTGAAGGACTATCCCCTTAGATATCCTTTTACAGCCTAAGTATACATGAATAAATGCCAATTTGTTAGTCGGAGCTCTAGAGACATCGTATAGCGTGCCGCAATGCTCCGTCTACCGTGTTCTAGTCCGCTACTAACCTGAACAGGGGCTTGTGGTGCTATGAAATTACCACAATCTACTAAAGATAATAACACGAACTCTGTTTGAATCATTCAAAACATAACAATTTATTAGTCAGGTAAATGTATTATGCCAATTCAATCAGTCAATTCATAAACGATCAATACAAAACATCAAATTATCAAAGATAAATCCAAGATTAAAAAGATGCATTCCTGACTTTGAAATATACATAACATGGAACAAGCCATGTTATGGGCTGATCTGGTTAGGCAGAATCGCCCTGAGTTTTTCTCAACCCTTACCTTAAATAATCCAAGAATTCCCTCAAGGAAGGGGGTGTGAATGTATAACAAAAGGAAAAAGTCACACCCTTCACAGTGGTTCAAAAGATGCCTGAAGTTATATATTTATTGTTTTGATTATGTCTATTTCTGAGAGAATGAGACCATTTTACCAATCGCACATTCGAGACATTTCAAATTATATCAAACATGATAATTAAAGTCAGTTTGGTTAATCTAGAACATTAAATGACCATATGTGTGAGATGGGGGGATCAAGCTGAGTTTCAGCATGCTCAGATGCAAATGCAGCAGGAACTGGTTTTTCCCGCATTCCCCCTTGCTGGGTTGTGAAGTTACCAGTCTCTGTTTTCAGCTCATGTTTTGAATTGTCAAAGATATCAGAATATTTGCAAATATTTCAATTCTTACATATATCATTTTAAGGACACAATTATTAGCCCCTTTTAACTATTTTTTTTCTGATAGTCCACAGAACATACTATCATTACACAATGACTTGCCTAATTACCCTAACCTGCCTAGTTAACCTAATTAACCTAGTTTTCTTTAAATGTCACTTTAAGCTGTATAGAAGTGTCTTGAAGAATATCCAGTCAAATATTATTTACTGTCATCATGGCAAAGATAAAATAAATCAGTTATTAGAGATGAGTTATTAAAACTATTATGTTTGGAAATGTGTTTAAAAAAAATCTGCTCTTCATTAAACATTAATTGGGGAAAAAATTAAATGGGGGTGAATAGTTCAGAGGGGCTAATAATTTTGACCTCAGCTGTAAGTACAGTGAAAAAATTATTCAAAGTGTTTTCTTTAAATTTACTCAATATTTTAGGTTAAGTGATCATAAACAAGTTATTTGGGTTGAATTCAAACAAATTAAGTTGAACATTACTAAATTTAATTTGTTTGTTTAAGTGTAAACATATAAATTTCACAATGCTAACAGCTTAGCATAAATCTCTAAATTACAGTCCCTCCCCTG